AGTAGCAGTAGTTTTGTCTAAAATATACAGTACTAGTAAGTTTCATCTAAAATATACAGTACTAGTAAGTTTCATCTAAAATATACAGTACTAGTAAGTTTCATCTAAAATATACAATAGTAGTAGTTTTGTCTAAAATATACAGTACTAGTAAGTTTCATCTAAAACCTGCTGAATGATAAAAATAGTACTCTATCTTTTAAGAATATTTTTTTCTTTCTGATCCAAAATATATTAAGCATTATAATAAACCCATGAAAAAACTTGCAATAATTTTGTTTCTATTGATATAATGAAAATGTTGAATGTTTTGCACAGGTAAACTTTATAAAGGTGAGAAATACATAGATGAAAGACATCGACACCGTTATGAGGTAAATCCAGCTTTTGTTCCTGATTTTGAAACATCAGGCATGAAATTTATAGGCCAAGATGTAAATGGAGAGAGAATGGAAATCATGGAACTACAAGGTAGAAAAAAAACTTTTGTTGACAGTCTCCATAAAAAAATTAAGAGGCAATATTTTAATAAAAAGTAGGGGCAGTGTTTTGAATGAAAATAGTCATTCATTTTAGAAAAGTAGAACTCTTGATAAAAAAAAAATAACTTCCCTGCTCTCCAAATTTTTGCATAACCTTAATAAATCTGTTAATATGCTTGTCTTCTGGTTTTAGCATAACTTTTTGTAAATCTGTTAATCTACCTCTACCAGTTTTAGCATATCTCTTATAAATATGTTAATCTGCCTCTACTAGTTTTGTTTTAAATCTGTTAATCTGTGTGTACCAGTTTTAGCATAAATTTTATAAATCTGTTAATCTATCTCTACCAGTTTTAGCATAAATTTTATAAATGTGTTAATCTACCTCTTCAAGTTTTGTCATAACTTTTATAAATCTGTTAATCCACCTCTTCAAGTTTTGTCATAACTTTTATAAATCTGTTAATCTACCTCTACAAGTTTTGTCATAACTTTTATAAATCTGTTATTTCTCTACCAGTTTTAGCATAAAGTTTATAAATCTGTAAATTTCCTCTACCAATTTTAGCATAAAGTTTATAAATCTGTAAATTTCCTCTACTAATTTTAGCATAACTTTTATAAATCTGTTAATCTACCTCTACAAGTTTTGTCATAACTTTTATAAATCTGTTAATCCACCTCTTTAAGTTTTGTCATAACTTTTATAAATCTGTTAATCTACCTCTACAAGTTTTGTCATAACTTTTATAAATCTGTTATTTCTCTACCAGTTTAAACTGTAGATTCCTCAGTTCTTTTCATCTAGCTATACTAACTTTAATCTAAATAATTGGTGTGGAATTATTGGTTTGGTTTAATAAACATCTTTGATATAAAGTAGGATATTAAAGATTGTGAAAAAAATATTATTATTCAGAAATTATGAGGGAATATAGTTGTAAAAATTATAAATATTGAAATTTTTTCTTTCAATAATTAATTATTAATTGCAGTGTTTAAAAAGACAGTTTTCTTTCTAAAGTACATTAAGTCTTTCAAGAGTGGAAGTTTTATTTTTTTATTATGTGTTTTTAACATTTTGAGTAAAGGAAGGTTTTTAAAGCTTTCATTTATGTGATTTCTTCTGTGTTGGAGGGGCTTATATCTCTCAGAACTTTCTGTATAACAGCAGTGTGGGGATTTCTTATGGCTGCTTTTAAAAAGAAACATTCAACTGTTTTTTGTTTTATTTTATTTATTTATTTTTTCCTGTGGATAAGGTACAATGAGCTAACGAATGAACATGAAGGTTTAATTCAGAGTTCCACTTGGTGTGAATGAGATACATTGTGCTAACGAATGAATATTGTTTCCCTTATAGCACTTTTGATCCAAATGAGAGGTATGAGCTAATGAGTGAATATTGTTTCCCTTATAGCACTTTTGATCCAAATGAGAGGTATGAGCTAATGAGTGAATATTGTTTCCCTTACAGCACTTTTGATCCAAATGAGAGGTATGAGCTAATGAGTGAATATTGTTTCCTTTATAGCACTTTTGATCCAAATGAGAGGTATGAGCTAACGAGTGAATATGGTTTTCTTCAGCATCCATATGACTTGAATGAGCATGAACACATTTTTCTGTAACTGTTATTTTTTATTTAATGACCAATTTTATTTTTATCTAGGTCATCCATATTTTGTAGGAGTTCAATTCCACCCAGAGTACATTTCCAATCCTCTACGACCTTCTCCTCCTTACCTAGGTCTTATCTTAGCTTCATGTGGTAAGCTAAGCTACTATTTATCTAAAGGTTGCAGACTTTCACCAAGACAAATAAGTGATGATGACAGCTCAGATGAAGAAGTCATTGCTAAACCAAAGAAGACTTCTCAAGTACTTATACCACAAGATGGTTGACTGCTTAGAAAAAATGTCATTTTACAAATTGAACCTCTTACAGAATAAAATTTATTCGGGAATTAGTTAAACTTTTATTCTGTACATTGTATATTTATTTATTTTATTTTCACAAAAAGTTTACAAAAACCATTGTAAAATATGTGCCAAATAATGCAGATATAATTTATTTATGGGAGGTTATCCCATACTTAAAGCTTTAGACAGAAAGAATGTAGCAAAGTTTTGTGATATAAAAGTTTATTAAACCAGGATATGTAAGAAAGTATTGTATCATTTTAGTTCTCATGATATTTCATGTGGATTTGGTTTATAATATTAGATATAGTAGTCTCTACAACCTGGCAGAAGTTAGAGAGTTACAGGTAGTAGTATCTGAAACTCGGCAGAAGTTAGCGGATTACAAATACTAGTCTCTACAGCTTGACAGAAGTTAAAGGATTACAGGTACTAGTCTCTACAGCTTGGCAGAAGTTATAGAGTTACAGGTAGTAGTCTCTACAACTTGGCAGAAGCTAAAGGGTTACAGATAATAGTATCTACAACTTGGCAGAAGATAGATAGTTGTAAGTTGTAGTCTTTACAACTTGGCAGAAGATAAAGGATTACAGGTTGTAGTTTTTACACCTTGGCAGAAGTTAAAGATTACAGGTGTAAGTCTACAGCTTGACAGAAGATAGAGAGTTACAGGTTGTAGTTTCTACACCTTGGCAGAAGTTAAAGATTACAGGTATAAGTCTACAGCTTGACAGAAGTTAAAGGATTACAGGTACTAGTCTCTACAGCTTGACAGAAGTTAAATGATTACATGTACTAGTCTCTACAGCTTGACAGAAGTTAAAGGGTTACAGATAATAGTATCTACAACTTGGCAGAAGATAGATAGTTGTAAGTTGTAGTCTTTACAACTTGGCAGAAGTTAAAGGATTACAGGTAGTAGTATCTACAACTTGGCACAAGATAGAGAGTTACAGGTTGTAGTTTCTACACCTTGGCAGAAGATAGAGAGTTACAGGTTGTAGTTTCTACACCTTGGCAGAAGTTAAGGATTACAGGTATAAGTCTCTACAACTTGGTAGAAGTTTAAGGATTACAGGTACTAGTCTCTACAGCTTGGCAGAAGTTAAAGGATTACAGGTACTAGTCTCTATAGCTTGGCAGAAGTTAGAGAGTTACATGTTGTAGTTTCTACACCTTGGCAGAAGTTAAAGATTACAGGTATAAGTCTCTTCAACTTGGTAGAAGTTTAAGGATTACAGGTACTAGTCTCTACAGCTTGGCAGAAGTTAAAGGATTACAGGTACTAGTCTCTATAGCTTGGCAGAAGTTAGAGAGTTACAAGTAGTAGTCTCTACAACTTGGCAGAAGCTGAATGGTTACAGATAATAGTATCTACAACTTGGCAGAAGATAGATAGTTGTAAGTTGTAGTCTTTACAACTTGGCAGAAGTTAGAGGGTTACGGGTAGTAGTCTAAAATTTGGCAGAAGTTAAAGGGTTACAAGTAGTAATCTTGACAGGAGCTACAGGGTTAGAAGTACTAGTCTCTACAACTTGGCAGAAGTTAGAGGGTTATGGGTAGTAGTCTCTAAAATTTGGAAGAAGTTAAAGGGTTACAGGTAGTAATCTTGACAGGAGTTACAGGGTTAGAAGTACTAGTCTCTACAACTTGGCAGAAGTTAGAGGGTTATGGGTAGTAGTCTCTACAATTTGGTAGAAGTTAAAGGGTTACAAGTAGTAATTTTGACAGGAGTTACAGGGTTATAAGTACTAGTCTCTAAAACTTTGCAGAAGTTAGAGTATTACTGGTCAAGCTGCAGCTGCTAATCAACACCAATACTGCCCACATAAAAAAATATTAGTTGCCTACATTTTCTTTACAAAAGTATTTTATATTCTATGGGTATTAACGTGTTCATTATCTCAAATGGCTAGTTTTTTGTTTAATGAAAGAACATTTAGAATATAACATGTGTGAAGACAAAAACAAAATAAACTATTGATAGTTAACAAGTATGTAAGTAAGTTAACAAAGGTGTGTCTAAAGAAATAAAACTTATTTTGAAACTTATTGTCTGTAGTCTCAAGTTCTGAGTTTAAATCTATAAATGTTGACAGTTTTAGTTTGTTTACTCATAATACAGTATGAAATTTTGGAATGTTTTGGTTTTTTATGTACAAGTTTTTTTTTATAAGGATATTAATGATTAATAGAAGTAAATGTAAATTTTGTAAACAAGTATAGCTAAGTAGTTTCTTAAGCTGGCACCAAAATATTGACATATCATGTTTTTGGTCATATTTTAGTTTTATAATTTTGCTTATTTCTTCTGAATTCACTAACTTTCCGATTGAATTTTATGTTCTGTTTCCACCCACTTTTTGTTTTACTGAAGACGTTTTAAAATAATATTTTGTGAGATCAAATAAAGGATATTACAATGTAAATAATGTCTCCTGGTGAATAGAAAATACTTAGTTTATTGCAAATTTTTATAAATGAAATGACATGATGAGATGAGTGTGTTTCCTCAATCCAGTAAACATTTCAACAAATATTTTGTTGGGTGTGCAAAATATAATAACCTGAGTAACTATGTTGAATGTTTGGTGTGAAATAGCTTTATAAACTGAGAAAGTTGATTGTTGGGTGTAAAAGAGTTTTATAATCTGTAACTATGCTGATTTTTGGGTATGAAAGAGTTAAAATTGTGTAATTATGTTGATTGTTTGGTGTGAAATAGCTTTATAAACTGAGCAAAGTGATTGTTGGGTGTGAAAGAGTTTTAAATAATCTGTAACTATGCTGATTGTTGGGCATGAAAAAGTTTTAAAATTGTGTAATTATGTTGATTGTTTGGTGTGAAAGATATTTTATATACTGTGTGACTATGTTGATTGTTGGGTGTGAAAGAGTTTTAAATAATCTGTAACTATGCTGATTGTTGGGCATGAAAAAGTTTTAAAATTGTGTAATTATGTTGATTGTTTGGTGTGAAAGATATTTTATATACTGTGTGACTATGTTGATTGTTTGATGTGAAAGAGTTTTATAAACTGAGTAAGTTGATTGTTGGGTGTAAAAGAGTTTTATAAACTGAGTAAAGTGATTGTTGGGCATGAAAGAGTTTTAAAATTGTGTAATTATGTTGATTGTTTGGTGTGAAAGAGTTTTATAAACTGTGTAAGTGTTGATCATTTGGTGTGAAAGATATTTTATATACTGTGTGACTATGTTGATTGTTTGATGTGAAAGAGTTTTATAAACTGAGTAAGTTGATTGTGGAATAGTTTTTATACATTGTGTAACTGTGCTGATTGTTTGATGTGAAAGAGTTTTATAAACTATGTAAGTGTTGATCATTTGGTGTGAAAGATATTTTATATACTGTGTGACTATGTTGATTGTTTGATGTGAAAGAATCAACTTACTCAGTTTATAAAATTTGGGTATGAAAGTTTTAAAATTGTGTAACTGTGTTGATCATTTGGTGTGATATATATTTTATATACTGTGTGACTATGTTGATTGTTGGATGTAAAAGAGTTTCATAAGGTGAGTAACTATGTTGAGTTTGGAAGTTTTATGGAATGTGTAACATGGCTTGGTGATTCATAGCAATGGTACAGCACTGCTTCCTGCTCTCATAAGTTAATAATTGACCACACAAATAGTGCATGTTTCATGCTACGTTCATCTATTTATAATAGCTTTACTTTGCACCCACGCTAGATATTGGTCCTTGAGTTGCTCTGGGAACGTTCATCTATTTATAATAGCTTTACTTTGCACCCACGCTAGATATTGGTCCTTGAGTTACTCTTCCAAGAGCTCCCCAGGTGTTATTTGTAGTATTCATGTACAAGAGCCATCTCACACTGCATGACTTGATGTTGCTATGGTGCAAATGGCTTCCACTCCCACATGGTGTCTAGGATCAGAGCATTCCACGAAGGCACGGGTCTCACCATGCAGCAAGTTTTTGTGTTGTATGCCTGGGTGATGCACTATGACTAAGTCATGTTCTTGCAACATTGTAATCCAACATGTCATCATAGGTTCCAGATTACGGAAGCTCATTAACCATTTCTGGGTCTACCCAGACAGTTGAACCTCCTACCGAAGGAGTAGTTGTAAGAGTTTTATGAAGACCTCACACAATTTGTGTTTTGATGTAGTGAGGGTGTCTTGTGAATTTTTATTTGTTTATGGTTTTGTTTATCTATGTATGAATTTTTAGTTACAGTTAAAGCGCTAACTTACATGCTAGATAATCACATTTATTATGAGTATTTTGCATGTATTATGAGACTGATATCAGTTTCCCCTAGCGGTGAGGTGACGAACATATATCATTAATGTTGCACAAGGTTAGTAAATTATGAACAGATATTTTGCACAGGATTATGTGATTTACGATCACACAATTTGTAATCTCTTGATCTAACAAGTGAATAAAAACCATACAATTTGTAATCTCGTGATCTAACAAGTGAATAAATACTGTTACGTCTCCGTTTGTTAATTGATTTGTCCGTAACTTCGTTCCGATGAAACTTTAACGGCACAAGTCTTTACTTAATAAAACTGGTTTATTCTTTCCGAATATAACTTTATGATACACTTAATTTCAATATTCGCGCTAAAACAAACACTATAACGAACGAACGTTAACTTCAGCAATACCCTGTGACTGCAGTTCAATTAATCACTATCTACACACACATTATTGTCCCGTCACGTTGTCACCCTCTTTTATATACCAGCCTACCCAATATCTAGTAAATACTAGAGCATTCGCCAAGGTACAGGATAGTTCTAGAAAATAGGTGGCGCCACACCGCCCCTCCTTAATATTGTTCGTCCCGAACAATTGCCACTTACAATAAACCAATAACAATTAACAATAACTTAATTAAATGTACAGAATTACAATCACAAAATTACAATTCAACATAGTCTTTTAATTTTACGGGACGTATCTTCTTCCGTACTGGTCTCCGTCTTGTGGGGTTTATCGGCTTCATCAGTAAATGTCCTATCATCGGTAACAGTCACATCAGTGGTAGTAACTTCATCAAGAGCTTCACTGTTTCCCTTCTCAAAACTGAGTAGAGTTTCTTCTTCGACGGTGGCTTCTTCAGGTGGCACGTCTTCAGCAGTGTCATTTGTTCCTTTGTTCACTTCATCCCAACTGAAACGTCCTGGACTGTGATAACGCCAAAGCCTGTTGGCATGCACCACTTTTGGCTTACCTCGCCGACCACATTTTATCCGGAAAGTCACGTCTGAGAGACGATCCACTATGTCATATGGGCCTTCCCATGGAGATGACAATTTAGGAGACTTCCCTTTGATCTTCCTGGGATTATACAACCATACCTTGTCTCCAGGTTCAAAGCTGGCTTCAGTGGATCTTTTATAATAAGTTAACTTCATCGAATCAGCAGACGTTTTCAACTTTGAATGGACTTGATG